GCATTTTCATTGATTTGACTTCAGATTTGATGCAGCTTCTGATTTATTGGTTAGATGGTCATACTATATCATTCTATGCGATTGTGAGAAATAATGCATATTTAGTGCTTAACTAATTTTCAATAAATGACATAACAATTCTGCAAAACTAAGCGTCTCCTTTCTTGAAAAATCCTTATCTCTCCTATCCACCTACCTACCTGCCTACCTACTTACCTACCTACCTACATACATACATACATACATATATGCATACAAACTTTAATATCCTTGTCATTTATTATCTTTACTCAATTGCAACTAATTAAATGGTAGTTACAGAAAGAATATTTACTTTCTAAAAGGTGTATACGGCGTTTAATGAAGCAGTTATTCATTTTTTTGTCATGTTAACTTGAGAAACTACTTTCATTTGAATGTAGCGAAAGCAAGAGTTGAGTAAATTATTTGTTGAATCGGTTCAGCTCATAAAGGACTGGACGTATTGTAAAACTTAATTCACTTGTTTGTTACAGAATAATTCATGAGCAAGTTTTGCAAATCCTTGGATGATTATATATGTGTATCGTTTGGTTATGAATGTAAATGCTTTTGAGTAACGCGATGAACATGGGACCAGTTACTACTAAGTAGCAGTCAAAGTTGCCATGTCTCATATCAACGCATCGAGCAACGAAACACTAAAATGAAAAGTAAAGCAGAATCGGCTAAAAGTAGTAGAAAGTATGAAAGGACAGGAAGGAGGAGTGGGAAAATACTAAATTCAGTATGACGATTAAGACGGGAATAATGTGAGGATGCTTCTGCGCCACTGAGCCATCTCACCTAGAGTCTCCAACTATTAGGTTTTGTTATCAGGAGGACCCTGACTGGAAAGTTTACATTTCTGTACATGGCTCAGACCAATAACCAAATAATTCATGTAATAACACCACATCTGGTCTGGTCGCCTCCAACCTTTTACCAGCTTAAATCTATTTCAGCTAACATTGTGCAACGAGGCAGGCAATGACCAGGCAATGGATAATAAATGTCCCAGACACCTCAGTCAATCAACGTTCATAACCTCATCAATTGAATGTCCTCTCTTCCCTGCAACTCTACTTCTGACTTCTGCATTACTGACATAGTGACACCCAAATACAAAGCCTATGTTGAGAAGAACATGGTTGTCAAACACCTTGAAACGTCGCGTGTCATCCAACTTAAATGGATATATTTCACACAAATACAGTGTTACAGTGCGAATAACAGCTCAGTGCACTCAAATCTTGTCAGGCAAACGAATATCGCGGTTACGCCACAGATCGGGCGATTTGGCAAAAGATAATCAAGGCTTTTCATCAAGTATTCGCATAAAGAGGAAAAATATAGGGTCTGCATTTGTATGTAAGTATGTATGTGTGTATGTATGTATGTATGTGTGTATGTATGTATGCATGTATGTATGTATGTATGTATGCATGTATGTGTGTATGTATGTATGTGTGTGTGTATGTGTGTATGTATGTATGTATGTATGTATGTATGATATCATAAGGACATTCATATTCTTGGGTTATGTGATAGATTTGTCGTTTGCTTTTACGTTGGAATGTTTCAGCTTCGATATTTTCAGGCGTAATATTTTTTGTAAACATGAAATTATGGTGTGCTTTTAATGTATATTCTTATTTTCCTACGTTGATGTAAATCTTATATTGCAAATTATAATAATAGATTTTTTTTTCTAATGAACAGTGGCCACGAGTACTTGTCTATGAATTGATGCATGGAGAAGTAATGAAGCCTTCTTCGATGAAAAATGTATTCAATGTGCATCAAACAGTAACTGGCTACCGCAATATGGCATTACTCAACTTGAAGGAGTTTAGCATAGTCTTCAGTTCGCTTCAAAAATCTTAATTTAACTTAAAAAATGGGTAAGGAAGGGTCAGTGAATCACGGGTTATTGAATGTAATCATGAACCTTTGAGAACCATGAAGAACGGAAGCACATTGCATGTCAACTTATAAAGTTTAGACATTGGCTGTGATGGCGAAAGACATGAGAAATACGGTAACGATAGGCAATTATTTGGGTTCATTAAAGAAACTAGGATGAAGATAATGGTTGGCGCAGAAGGATGAGCTTGCAATCCACTGGCACTGGGGATAACTGCAACAATGATCAGGAAAGTTTGACTTACGTTCAGCTACTCTTCGGCTGTTCTTTATTGAGTCACAATCTGATATAGGACTTGTGACTCTTAAAGAGGTCAAGAAAGCGATAAATAACCTGGGATGAGAAGTAACATAACGCCTTCATGAAAAAACACAATTACAATTTAAGGACAGTGAACCAAGATTAAGAGTTAAATTGTTTCAGATGCTAGCTGGGTTATTAGAATCGGATATGAATTCGTCTGACTGACCTTATTCCTCAGAAATAAAGAGAAGTCCTTTACTATAGCTGCAGAGGAAAAAGCATGAACACACTATCTAAGATTCTAGAATTATCCGATGCCTAAGTGGGATTCAAGGACAGTAGACGCTATCCGTAAGTGTATATACCAGATCTTAACCTTCCATGAGACATTGGGATACAATTAGAAAGAGATCTTTTGTCAGTAATTATCAGTGAAGAACATATCTAGCAAGTGGGTCGATCTACTGAAGTTTGTACACTCGAACATCAATGGTCACGTCATAACATACAATAAACTATATCATAAGATGATGTCCGTCACGGATATTCACTTTGTCTTGTTTCTTTTTTGTTGAAATTCAACATAAATCTGCTTATAAAGTCCTTCTTTTTCTTCTATACTGATATTGCAGGAACTTATCTCTTTATTGGAGACTCTTTATTTCTTTTGGAATATACATTCGACACAATCAAGTAAATAGCACAAAATCATTTTGAGCTATAACAAATAGAGTAATTTCATGTGCAACTTGAACAGCTACAACTTGATAATCCCAAAGTTGTAGATTAATCGTATTTAGGAGCAGATTCAGATCCATAAATTACTCTCAACAGCTGCTGATTATCCTAAAGTGAAGAAATATCTTCAGGATTAAATATTCTACGATAGATAAGACAATTTTCGAGGTAGTATTCACCACATTATTTCCAGAATTATTTAAAACCTGGAAGCAGTGACAACTGTTTCGTGTTAGTATGAGACTCTTCAACGATACGCACTCATGACCCTACGTGCCAGGGATCGAACTCAGGACCTTCAGGTTTCTCGGCGAAGGCACTAACTATTCAGCCACTGAGTAAGGGTTCAAAGTTTCCAACTTCTGTCAATTAACAATATACCGCAACTATCACTCAAGGTCTTCAGATGGTATCCGTTTCCCTCCCCCATTTGATTGTGGAGTACTACTCATAACAGTTGACAATTTTATCGATTTCCTTTTCAGTCTCCCATTCTGTTACCTTTAAATAACATAATATAAATCGACAGACTGTCGTCACTAGAAACGCATAAATTTATTACGCAATGAGAAATGACTTTAGAATAAACACCATTTAACAAGCATCTGATACTACTTACAATAATGTAGTAAAAGTACATCCATCCAATCAAATAGGAGGTGGGATACAACAGTTAAAATACACAAATAATTGAAAATTAAATTCATCAAGTGAACAAAATTACAATAGACTGTTGATACGGCAATTACTTTTGAGTTAGAGATAAGTGGTACAAAAAGCATTCACAAATTACTAGCTTATATATATAAAAATATAAAGCGATCTAACATGATAGCCGTGATTTATTTCACAGTGATAAAGTTGTCTACTTCTTTGCCCTTCACCATATTCAACCCTCTATCTCTCACTCTGTGCATATTGTGTCTGATAAAGAAGAAGGTGAAGTTCAATCAATACAAGAATAATCATAATAGTGTGAAAAAAATAAACTTGATCAAACAACAAATAGAATATGAGCATAAGAGTTCAGGAAGATTGTGATGAGATAAAAGAATTAAAAAGAAGAGGTAATCATCACCTTGGATTAACTTAAACACCTACCATCACACCATTATCTTACCTGTTATCAACAAACAATGTAGAAAAATCAATTTATAAAATAAATCATAAAAAACAATGGGAAAAGATATATTCTTTTCCTTCTCTATTCTTTCAAAATGATCTGATTTAATTGGAAGACATGATACATGAGTATGAACAGTAGATAAGAGAAGTATGCATGTTATTGTGTAGTGATAGCGACTTAAGGTGAAGACATTAGTCTTAGAGAAAGTACAACCAGAGGTAATGATGACAACATTACACCGACGATAGCAGCAGCAGCAGCAGTAATAGAATACCAACCAACTGAATGTATATTATGTAATGAGTACATAAATACTTGTGTAAAGTATATATATATATATATATATATATATATATATATATATATATAATATACATTCAGTTGGTTGGTATTCTATTACTGCTGCTGCTGCTGCTATCGTCGGTGTAATGTTGTCATCATTACCTCTGGTTGTACTTTCTCTAAGACTAATGTCTTCACCTTAAGTCGCTATCACTACACAATAACATGCATACTTCTCTTATCTACTGTTCATACTCATGTATCATGTCTTCCAATTAAATCAGATCATTTTGAAAGAATAGAGAAGGAAAAGAATATATCTTTTCCCATTGTTTTTTATGATTTATTTTATAAATTGATTTTTCTACATTGTTTGTTGATAACAGGTAAGATAATGGTGTGATGGTAGGTGTTTAAGTTAATCCAAGGTGATGATTACCTCTTCTTTTTAATTCTTTATCTCATCACAATCTTCCTGAACTCTTATGCTCATATTCTAGTCAAGCAATCACGACATTCTACAAGAGGAGGAAAGGAGGAAGTGGTGCGTAAGACCGTCCCATATGTCTTGTATAAAGGAGAGCAGAAAAGAAAAGCAACCTGAAATATGCGTAATGATAATAATAATAATAATAATGATGAAATGAATGGAGAAAATGTATTGGTTTATGTAGTTGGTCGAGGAGGAATACGAGGCATACCACTGTTACCTGGACGTCTAGATTCAAAGCAAAGAAAAGAAACATTAAATATAATCTAAAAGACAAAAGTAAAAGAATACTTGATTATACATTCAGTGGTGACTAATTATAAGGTAAATACACTCATGAATGACAAACATACATCACTCTTCATGCAAACTACACCCTCAACATTCTAACGTACATCTTAATATCACACATCATAGGAAGAGTAAACTTTTTTACGGGACACGTACTATACTACTAGGTCACAAGATGGTCTAAAAATTAAAAGGCAATCTTGAAACAATCCACAGAGAAGTTAGAAGTCAGAAGAGAAAAATATACTCAGACAAGGCTATTGGCGATAATCGATAAAGTCACCCTTCTCATTGACAAGTATATCAGTGCCTATGACACATCAAGTGAACTTCCAAGAAACTGTAAAGAGTAAACTGAACTATTCCATATAACCTCATCATTTGTGGACACCTGATTCTTCGTCATAGATTCTTTAAATTAATTTACAAAGTGACACTTAAAATTCCAAAACACTTCGACTATATCATCTATGTTAAGTTGAATTATGAGTGATTCATAATCTTTAAACTGATCTTTGTGTTCAAAAGGATTACATGCACCCATTAGCTTTACAACGGCTAGAGTAGAGGTTTTCTCCTGTCTTTAGAAATGACTTTTTGTCCTAATCTTGAACACTACTGTGATCATATGACACCAGTGATTATGAATCCATCGTTATTTATTCCCAGTACCTATATACAAATGAGATCGTTTAGTCTCAGTGAATAAAATTGTTGAAAAGCGAAATTCCCTCGTTGTTACGTCTTGATACTGTGATATAACATGGGGAATTTCCGTTCGTAAGAATGTCGAAACAGAAAGTAAAACCGATTTTAGGTTGGGATTTATCGAGGACTGACATCAACTGGAGGAACATAGGAAACATGGGAGCAATATACAGCTATTTCGTCCCGGTAGTATGGGACCACTCAGCAGTGCGCACCCATGACCCCACTTCGCCAGCTATCGAACCTAGGACCTTCGGGTTCAGTGGCCATCACGTTACCACTGAGCCGCTGGGTCGGCATCCAATCGTTCATATTTCCTACTTCTGTCAGTTCACGATATAGAGCATCCTAACCTAAAATCAATGAATAAATCTCCACAAACCTCCAGACAGAATTAATCTACCGCTCACGGGTGCTTAGCCTCGAGAGGAAATTCCCGGACTTCCAATGAGACGTCACGACCAGTGGAGTCAAGCAAGTCGAACATGAGGACAGCTATTCAACGACGGGATCGCATCACTTACTAAATCTCCCCAAACCTTCAGATAGAAAACCGATTTGTCATGAGTAAAATGGAGGCATCGGTAATTGGCTTAACTTGTCGATTTTCAAGCACTGGATCACTCACTCTGTTGAAACAGAGATTTCTGAAGGCAAAATAGTCAGCTCTTCGGTTTACAGTCAAGTGAGTTAGATCATTTTAAGCAGTATGTGTATACGTTCACATAGTATGACGGATATGAACCATAAACCCAAATAAGAAGCATTACAAAATAGTTTTTTCCTTAGAGAATGACATCAGTTGGAGAACCACTGAAAACCTGAGAGGATTGAATAGCTGCCTCATCCTAGTTTTTGACTTCAAAACAAGGTCTCACAAGAGAAATGTAGGTTTCACGGTGAGAACTGAGTTTGAATCTAAAGATTCACATTTTCCTACTTGAGCCAATTCGAGGTAGAGCACGATCAATGGATTTCAACTCAATGACTCAACATAAACAATTTTTCCAAGCCAGTTGGAAATGTTATGATCAAGACGTGAAAGCATCACAGTAGGCCCTAATGAAGATTAAAAGAACTGGAACAACAGATGTTAATGGCAGTACATCAGCTATTAATGAGAAACCCCTGCTAGCCATAAAACAACTTTGCTAAGTTGCTTGTGAAGAGAAAATAAGCGCACAAAAGTCATGAAAAGTTGTACAACACACATTAAAGTTAACAGCAAGTATGCTGATAATTACCAGCAAAGGTTGAGTAAAGACAAACGTATAACTCACTCTGGTATAATTGGATGTCCGAGATTACCAGATAATGATGTCAGTTTTGGTGGTGGGACTGGTGGTGCTATTGATCCAGACTGTGATTGATTAAAAAGGGGATCAAATGAAATCCATGGTGCATTTGTAGTATACACTGTATTTGGATTAGAACCATTCGGTACACTAGTCAATAATAAATTGGAACTGTTACCAGTACCTGAAGTAAAAGTACCAGGAAGATTGCCAGTACTTGCACTTTGCGAAAGACCATTACTGAACTGAGGCGTCCGTCTATATAAACAAAAAATGAAAAGACCAGTCATTTATAAAAAATCAACCTTCAAGTAGAGCAGGTGTGAGGTTGAACAGTATGTGACTAAACTAGTTAAAAAAACGAGGACACGCTTACTCAAATTTCAGTGTAGGTAGGTCTTGGGACAGCTAAGATAGCCTAGTATCATCATTATGCAGCTTATCCTGGATGTTACGAACTTGGTCAACAGCTGTTATCTTGATATAGTAATCGAGCTTGTATATAACAACGACCCAGTGAGTTATGCTGACTGGAATAACTATTCCTTGAGATCTATTCACGCCAGAAAAGTTTGTTGGGTGGTGGTAATACTAAAAACAGTTACTTTTATAAGGAAAATAGCTACGCTATGATGAGGGTCTGAGAGCGAAGTTGTACTGCTGGCTGGAGGGGGGATGTAACAGCAGAAAAGTGTTCCCCACGGATGACCACCAGTGTCATGGTTATGTAGACTCCCCTACGAGAGGGTGTGTTAGAAAAGTTTGGCCCCAAAACTGCACACTCTTCCCTTTCTTGCGGTTTTCCAGTGCTTACAGTTGGATGTAAATCAATCGAGGCTTAATTTGAAGCTTTCAAAAGGTCTGTATGTGACCGACATCAAACGGACGTCTCTTGGACTGAAACCTCAGGATAGAAATGTATGGCATATCTGGAACGTACTTACAGGATTCATTTACACTTATTTAGTTAAGTTCTAGTGTAGAAAACGCAGTCAATCAACACTTGTACATTGTTCAGCTGAATGTTTCTGTAAGAACAGGAAAGCACTGTAATACTTACTACCTTATACGAATCCAAAATCTCCACCTGTGCAACCGTAGAATGTGGTTCTGATGATAAAAAAGACACTTGTTACCAAAAGTTATCGCTTTCGCTGCACAAAGCAAAAATGTCGGTGGATGACCTCAACACCCAAGTAGAGAAGTTGAGCTTAACAAAAGTGCCTTTTAAGGAAAACTATGCTATTCCGTGAAGATGAAACGACAACGGTTATCTGAAAGTCCCTAATTCCTGGACAGCATCAAAGCCGAACACAAGAAGCACTGTTTCACTTCGCATCCAAAAAGATGAAACGCAATCAGCAACCACATACACGTTTATGTATCAGATAATGAACTTCACCTATTATGAGAGGGCTAATGATACGACTCGAGTACGTCGACTAGGGCTTAATCCCGTGACCCATCAGTTGAAAATCAACTGCCTAAACCGATGAACAATAGTCCTACTTGGCGTCCGGCGACATTGCGCTAACAGCGGATACAGACTGATAATTCTGCTAGAAGACCATCAGAGAATGGTCTTTTTGGAGTATCTACTCAGACTGTAATCACGTGTTATTATGGACACCTATATGCCTGAGCCTTAATGGACACAGAAAATAAACACCAGTGAAGCTTATTTGTGCTCGTGGAATCCAGAACGCACATTCCCTCCTATTCGGGACTCGTATTATGAATATGCTTACAACTTCAGTCAGTGATTTTATTCCCATTGAGACTCGAACCCAGTACTCATCATTTCAAATGCCAAACCATTATCAACTAGGTCACTGGGGTACGAGTTGTTTAATTGTAATCTCCCGTTGCTGAGATTAGAAAGTTCACCTACCATGATCATAACGTAAACTCTTAAACAAATACATAGTTTGTGTCATCAAACTATTGTAGATTGGAAAAATCCTATACGATAATGATTCAGAGTATATGCTATCCAAAACCTTAAATAACAGTAGTAACAAACAATAACAATGTGAAGTCTCACACCAAAGAATATTTGTGAAAAATGTTACATTTCCCATCGATAAAGCGAAAAGCATAAGAAGAAAGCTACATAAATGATGAAATATTCAAAAAATGGGGAAAAACAAAATAGCTACATCTGCCCGATGTAGCAACGTACGTTCCCTAAAGTTTTCGGCTATCGATTTTACTTGTCGAACCGACAGCAATTAGAATACCGACAGTCATCTTTAGAACTTAAATGAACAGATTCATCACACGGACACGCAAATATAATAAATATAAAATCAGAGAATCCAAGGTGACTGAAAAATCTAGTAAACATCATGATTACAGATTAGCAGAACAAACTAGAGTAGCGTTGGAAGTATGATAGTGATTTTAAGACTGGCTGACTGCACACATCGCGTAAGGTTACAGGCTTTTTATAAACTAATGTTTCACACTAATTTGAACGTACTGAAGTTTAATCAATTCTATGCCTACACCAAAGATATTGTACAAGATTTGGTTTGAACAGTAGACAGACAAATCAATGTGGAGCACAGTAGGGAAGTGCCGACTTCAAAATGATACAACTGACAACAGAAAATGACGAAGTGCACAGAAAAGGAATAAAATTAAAGTAGACAAATGTGTGTTTGCTTGAGTGATTGATTTTTAGTTAAGACTTTTTATTGCTTGATTCTCAATAGCTCGATATCGAGTCCGAGAATAATAGCTTTAGCAGAAGAAATAATGGGTCCATTTTTATTTCGCAGTTTCTCATCAGTTGCTTACAACCCAAAACAATTTTAATATCCATTTGTAAAAAATGTTTGCATGCTTGAATCAATTTGATAGAAAATTATTGGCTTGAAATATACATAACATCGATATCACGTAATTGAAGACAGACGAATTGAGTGAATAACAATGCAGAACTAACAGTACGAGTATGAAGTATGTAATCGAAGCAACCTCCCATAGCAGGTATTTTGATGATACACTCGTTGTTTACAACAACCTGAAACATGCCTCATAACTGCTTAGTCTTATCAACAAGACACACCAAAGTATAGAATATACAATGGAATATGAACAGGATGATAAGTTTCACTTCCTTGATGTCGGAATTCAAAGAATTACAGATGGTAATTCACCAAGACGTATTCATCGTAAAGATTCTTGAATTGGAATGTATCTTAACTTCAACAGTTTTTGTTCCATTAGTTATAAGAAAGGTTTGGTGAAAACACTCTTCAACGGCATAAAGCATCTTTATTTTAAAGAGATACTGGCTGAGGAAATGAATATTGTTGAAAATGGTCTCCATGATAATGGATATCCACAGAAATTCATCAATCAGCACAAGAATATACCGATTTAAACCATAAAGTGTGATATAGTCGAGATGAAGCTTGTTTTGCTAAATGTTGGTTTCAAAGGTAATGATGTTTCTAGAAGAAGTAATTACAGGAGAAATGTTGTCTTGAAAAGGGCTTATCCAGCTTCTTGGTTAATCAGGTTCTATCGAATGAAATGCTCACTAAGACTATGAAAGTTTGACAAGTCTCCTCTTCATGTTACCTCCAACTGAACAAAGTAATTCACATGAACGTCTCAAAGCATATACAGTGAAAGAACAGAAAGAAGGGTTCGTGTCCGCATGTCTGTGCATAATCCAAGGAGTTTGTGACTGAGAGGTGGGAAAGTCCTAAACAGCGTTATTGCTTGTTATCCTTGTCAGTAATGGATATGAAGTCAATATTCAGAAATCCTCGAAAACAGCTAATAAACAGGTGAATTCGAATTTGTTGCATTTCACTGAGGCGTTAACCATTCAACGACTAAAACCGAATTTATGTATTCAGAAAGGAACATTCATTAGTCTGCGTCTGCTATGGTAAAGACTTTTGCGTTGTTGAAAGTCGTCATGGATTTTTACACACCAATGTCGATTCATGCGAGTTGGTTGTTCTTTCTTGTTGTTTAACATTATACACCCTTGACCTAATTATCTGAATTCTGATCACATTAGCTGCTCTTAGTCAACATAAATCTGATGACCTTCTCTTAAGCATTTTGTGTTACCTTTCTCAATGTGTTAAATACGTTTGTATATTTTGAGATAGTACTCACCACTGACTGACATCACTTCCAGAACCACTGTAAACCTGGGAGCACTGGACGACTGTTTCGTCCCAGTATAGGACTCCTCAGTACTAAGCACCTGCGACCCGGCTACCGATCCAACTCCAGGACCTTCAGGTTTCAAGGTGAACGCGTCATTCATTCAACCACTGGGTCGGTGTTCATTGGTTCATGGTTTCCAACTTCTGTCAATTTGAGATATAGTGCGACTATCATGCAAGGTCTTCAGATAGCATCTACTTCCCTTCCGACTGGTTGACCTTATAGGTTGCGCCTTCTTAAGAGAACTTCGTGATATCCATCTACAACCATGCCACTAATGAGCACTGTACAGTAATGTATCTTCAGGTGGATATGGATTTCAATTCACTACAGACTGACATTAGTTAGAGATCCATTGAATAACTGTTTTGTTCCAACATGGGATTCTCTAGAACTACGCACCTATGACCAGGACGGTTGACGCGTTCATCGTGAAACCCGAAGGTGCTGAGTTCGATTCCTAGCCAGGTTGTGGGTGTGCACTGCTGAGGAGTCCTATACTAGAACAAAACAGATATCCAGTATTCCCAGGTTTCCAGTGGTCCTCTAACTGATGTCAGGCAGTGATAAATTCTACCTCAGAATATATTTGTTTCTTCATGTTATCAGACTTCCGCTCTAGAATATTCTAATTCTTCAATAAATTGGCAAACCTAGTTCTATATATTTCTTCATTCAATTGATGTATTTCCCAGTTGTTTTATATCGTCAATGCAATCTTTAATTCAAGTCGACAATTTCCTGTTAAATTGATTCAGGTGTGAAAAAAACTTATGCAAACATTGATGTTAAAAATTGTTTTAGGTTGTAAGCAGCCTATGCGAAACCGCAAAATAAAAGTGGATCCATGCTATTCTACTAAAGCTATTGTTTTCGCCGTATATACAGTCCATTGTCATGTTATTTAATCCTTCTAATCAAAACTATCGGTAAATAAAATCTAGTATTCTGGTGGGGAAATAACAACTATACTTGAACTATCATATATATCTATCACTTCTAGCCGTTTTTAATGATAAACTTCCAGTTCAAAGTTGTTACGAATGTCATAGAAACAGTTGAGTGCCAAGTTCGATTTCTTCATTATGTAAATAAGTTTTAATATAATCCCGGAGTACATTGATTAGACATTAGAGAGTAATCAACTTCATGTTGTCCAGCCCTGAGATTTAACCGAATTCTACTGATTATTTTGCAATGTGGTCATCAAGCTAGGAGGCTCAACATGTTGATGTACTTGGACGGATGTTAGTTGGTTGTAGATAATCAATCGGCAGTAAGTCCTGTTCTACCTAGGTTCCATGCTCGTTGGCACTCGTCTGGGATTCGAACCCGCGTAACCTAGTGGTAACGTCACTGACTACAATACTGGGTGAAGTGGAGTCCAATCTCAAAGGGGACATTACTTCTCTCGAGGTTGCAGATAAACTTTCCTGACGAGCACGAAAATCTAGGCTTCTTGCCGATTGACTCCAACCAAATAACATAATCCCATAGTGTTTAAGAAACTTAAGCATGATTTTTCCGAACGCATCGCTGTATGTAAACTACAGCTAGTATCATCACAAATAAATAGTGTATCAATGTCTACACATAATCTGAATATGAAGAGATGATGATGATGATCAAAGAACCAGCTGAGAAAAAACTAATTAGTATTTAGTAAAAATGATTTAACACTAGTTATTTTCGTACAGAACGACAGAAAACTATAATGTAAGACAGTTCGGTTCCAGTTTGCCCTAAAGGAAAGAAAAAACACGGGTATGATCAGTCATCATGAATATATCACGAATACCGCTTTTTTGTCAAGAAATTATTTCTGAAAAATGAAGATGGAGGATATTTCCACAGATCTACTTGTCAGAGAAGGTATAAGAAGGACTAACAGTCCAAGTTGTCACACCTCATATCAGTACATCAAGTAACAAGGAAATGGAATGGAAGATGAAAAAAAATCGGTCAAAAGAAGTACAAGTAGGAAGTAGTAAAAGAAAGGAAGAATGAGATGATGAGATTAAGTTTAGCGGTTAAGAAGAGGATAATATGTGTATGCATCTGGGCCATTGACATCGGTTCTGAGCCATATCACATAGAGTCTCCAACCACTGGTTTCTCTTGTCTTACGGACTGCAACCTGTTAGTCTGCATCGACCCCCCGCATGACACAAACCAACAGTCAAGGACTTCACGCATTGATGCTGTTTTAGTCTGGTCGCTGTGAGCCTTTTTCTAACCTGAACCTACTTCGGCCAACATTGTGCGATGGTTCCAGCCATCTCAGTCGATGAAGGTCCACAACCACATCAAGTGTCTTACCTCTACTGCCTAGAACTCTACGCTTGACTTTTGCGTTACTCATTTGGTGACATCACGAAACACAACCTATGCTACGAAGACAGTGGGATATCGTAGAGGTGTCACAAATGGTGTAAGATGGTAAAAGCCAACCGAGACTTTTGTATCCGTGCAGAGATTTCTTAATCAGTCATGAATGGGAACCCCATTTCTTAATTCTAGTTATTAAACATGGATCAGTAGTGTACTGACTACTTTTTGTTATGTTACAATACGTTTTTTTGGCGTCACTAAACTACTTACCAACTAATGGGGGGGAGGGATAAATCCAATAACCAAAATAAAGTACATACAACCTATCATAGGCAGTTGTTCTGGGGCCATAAATCACACTTGATTCATGATACGACACTGCTGATCGCATTGAAGTGAATAGTGGCTGGATAAATGAACCGTAGCTCCAGTTTTGTTGACTGCTTTTTGGAATAATCGGTCACACTAATCAACTACTTTTGTTTTTTTCTATGAGAAGTCAACACTTCGTAATCGACATTTAAATTTCTTTTAAACATAATATAAAGTCATTTCATTGTTTATGTCTGTTTTAAAAGGGACAATATCTAATCCCTAAGTTACTTAAAGGTGCTCTAATCAAATCAATAAAGACATCCAAACTCAATCAGCTTCACTTCAAAACTAGAAAAAAAACTATAAGGTGATATATATACAGGATTCCCCTACACTTAATGATAGAAGACCTCCTGAAAACCTTGGGAAAAAGAAACATCACATATAAGTACATAAACGGAGAAGTAATTTCTACTAGTAATAAGCATATAAGAAATCTTCAGTTATTTCACCGCATTTTCCATTTTTGAAAGTTCAAACAAATCTAAGTGACAGATAGACATATCATGTTCCACGGAAAACCCTTAAACTGCATTACTGCTTACCCTACCTTGATAGATACACAGGCAACTTCCCAAGCTTGATTACCGTTTCTCTGTCAATGGTTCAATCCTTATTACTCACACTCAACACAAATCTGCCAAACCACGACTATCTCAGTTAGTCAAACTGACAATCTATATGATCTTTACTCTTCCTAATTCAAAGAGATTTGGATTGAAATGAGAAATCCTGATTGGGCAACCAGTATAAGTACGGTCAAACGATATAAGAAATGAGTCATAAATTCACATGGTAGTCGGGCAAAACCCTTGGTCACTTATGTGAAATAAAAATCTGGTAAACAGTTGGGTGGAGCAACAGGCTGGAAATCCGGTGGTCGCTGGTTCGAATTCTGTCGCGACCTAGACTTTTATTCCACCTCCAATGAATACCTAGTTTTAATCTCTTATAGGTAATAAGCAACGGGTTTCAACCTATTGTGTGAGGGCTAGTGATAATACCTGACTGCCAATACTTCGGTAGATACAGCAATGCTCGTGACCCATCCTTTCAGCCAAATTTACACTAGAATCTGAATAGAACTCGATGTTTCATCTTCTCGACGTGAAACTCTAGAGAAGGTTTGATGATTCCATTCAGACATCCATCTACAGGAACCCCAACTGGAACGCGCAACCGACAAACTTTCAAAGTTGAATAGCTTTCAGCAGGAAGACTAATCTTGTACGTTCATTCTCATCAAGAATAAGAAAGATCTGCAGAAATGATACACTTTTTCAAGAATTAGAAAGCCTCAGAGAACGACTATTCGTTCAGATTCATGAAGAAAATTGTGAAAAAAACGAAAACCATAGGACAAATTCAGACGGCTCCGAAGAAAGTACTTCTAATGAATCTCAGATTCAAATGTGATTTTGTCGCGGACATACTTCGTCAACATTTATCAAAGTCTCTAAGTGGAATACTTCATGTTCCAAAGCCTCGTATTGTGTTCTCATGCCAACAGCTGATTCGTCAGTGCATGAAAAACCAGTTGACGCATTGCACCTCATCAGTATGTATCTACAAGTTCACCTGCTCTTGTGGAGCTGAGCTCTTGTGTTGCCCGTACTATGCGCTAATTAGCACTACCCAGTTTGGTTGCTGTCCCATCGTTGAACAGCCTGTCAACTCTAGACATCTGGTTCCTCTGAAAACCTCATTTAAAGTCCGACCAAACCGATTGAAAGTGGTGAGGATTGGACACTTATGTACAACTGAAGTTTCGCAATTTCACAGCTTCAAACCTCAATCGTGTATTCAAAAGAAACATAAAAACAGTCTCTTTACCGTGGCTTCAACCAGATACTCTGCACCTCTGTTTACGTTCTATGTTAAGCAATATCATTTCATGCCCTATATACATCTATCGATTAGGTTTAACGTTTGACCGGAAACTTATCTGGAACATTCCACCATTTGACTTAAACAGATAGTGTAAAGGAAAGATTGGGACAGAATCTTATTCGTAGGGTTAACACATTATTTCCTATCTTTAAAATCTTTCCCGTATACTGAACAGTATTTCTCATTACGCTAAAAGCTATGATGTTCAAGCAATAAAGTAAAACGCAAAGTAAGATATGTCCACCTTAAAATTGAAGGATTCAATAGAGTGGTCGTAAAACTTGGTCATTTAATGACCATATCACTAATACACTTTGAGCAAACTAGATAATAACTATTGTTATCAGCAGTTTTACAGACAACAGAGTCAATCTATTTTGCTAACATTTTTACAACTATCTATCGAATCGAAAGCAAAGTATAAGTCGATATATTTGAGGTAAGAACACCTAAAAGCATAAGTCCTAAAAAAATAACTTACTGAGGAAGTAGCGGAGCAGGAAGTTGACCAGGGGCAGTGGTTACTATCGTTGGAGGGTTTAGAGCGTGGCGTATAGGCAAATTTGGAGCTGGTCTAGAGGGTATAGGACGATTGGAAAGATTTATTGCAGAGTTATTAGGAGTTGAACCTTTTGCTGGAGTGGCGAAATGACCAGGAAGAGATACATTACCAGAACCAGGTGGTCGACGAATATTATTGTTTGAACCTGACGAAGATTCCTGAAATGAGTAATGAGTCAGGGGTCAAGCGTAAAGATGAATTCCTTCTTGATACAAAAGAAAAAAGGTTTTGACAGTAACAACAAACGATAGTTTAACCCGCTGCACTATTCTGATGGGTTCCAAAAAGGTTGTTACAGTGTTTTCTGGCGATTTTTCACCAATAATACAGAAAAGTGCGTTATTTTAGCTTAATAACTGCAAACAATGTGCCAGTGAGCTAATGTAACAACCTACCAACCCCTAGTGGATGACATCATTTTATCATGGCAAACCAGTTAGGAAAATATAAGAAATAGAAGAGGTGCTTATCGAAGTTATAATCCTGAGGTTTATTATCGAATCGAAATGCATTCATTAGCCTTGTGTGACGGCTTATGATACTGATACCTGGCTCTCCACATCCTGGGGGTGGGAGAGGGTAATGTGTTCGAACCCGTGACGCATTGTTTAAAAGTCATCCCCTTAAACCAATGAGTCAATGATTTCACTATACAATGTGTGGAATTATAACCTAATGGATTGTGATTAGCTTGTTTCTAGGGCATTAAGTCAATGCTTTTAGCTAGATCTACTGTTATTTACAGGAAATTCGATCCTGAAATGTATAAACACTAAATATTTACAATTGCACTGGGTTAGGAGATCTGGAGCTCCGAAAAATCGCAAATATCACTCCCTGACTGACTTACTTGTAAGGCTAGCTAACAAAAGCCTATGTCTCCATGTATGAACGTTTACCCTTATCATCCTCAGTTTAGGGCAGTAATAAATGAAGTCAGTTTTGGCCCAACTTGTCTTCTTCGTGATTGCCAGTACCTGGATCGGGAATCAGAATAAAGGGTTCCAAGATTTGTTTTCGTGTATCTTGCCGCGTGTACAGCATCGAACAGTATTGTATTCTTCAGACAGAATCATATAATTTGCTTCTCAAAATATAACCCTACACACTGTAAGTATTTATATTACTTAAATTTTTACAGTACGTTTCTGATCGACGCGAAATGATTGGAACGCTACAGGTCGCATACTTGTCAATTCAAACTTAAAAGGGCTATTTACAGAACGGTTTGACTAGACTAGATGTAAACTATATATAATAACTGAATAGCAATTTCAACGAAGAAAAAACACCAAAGTCATACTATTCTAAATTCACGGTCCACTAAATCTTTCCGTTTCACGATAAACAATACGAAGATATGATGGGTTAAATTAATATGTAAACGTGGAATCGGCGAAAAAAAAGCAGAGTCCACCTAAAAACGTTGGAAAACCTTGATTACAAACCAGTAGTTATCATATCCCGAGGAATCTCGAACAAGGAAGAGAGTATGAATATCTTCTCATCTCCAGTAAATCCTAGACTGCGGTTACCCCATTCGTCTTAATGTGTCGTAGGTAGATCGTATGATCAGCCTAGAATACAGTCACCAATGATACACCTTTTATCAAGTGAAACACGCTTTAGAATTAACACTATAAATAAAGAAGTTCAATTTATAGCAGTAATTTCAAAAGATAGTTTCTGCACATCGTAAGCGACAACTTGACAATATTTAGTGTTTCTGACTACTTGAACGCAAATTATTACCCCAAGCTCTGGTTTGCGCTCGCCCTCCACCAAACAACTGAAGTAATTGAGTATCCTGACTACTTCACTCACTTGGGAAGTCGGATATGCCCGGATGGATCAGTCACTAACGAAATATCTGCATGTATCAAAAGCTTTTATGTCTTACGCCAACTTAGCGAGATGTCTGATTGTATATTAAAGGTCGAGTGTACTGCGCAATAATTCACTCTGTTCAACTAGATGGCTATGAAACATAGTCACTAAAGATGACGGATATAAAAAGGTTTCAGGTGTTCAATCATCCTCGCCTTCATCGCATTCTCTGTATGCCATATAACTGCCATGTTAATATCGAAGATGTTTGATATAAAGGTTACAAAAAGAGGTGAGTTTGTTTACGGCTCCTACATAAGCCTGGTGTTACTGTTTACCCAACACTGCAATCGGTCTACGCTAAAATAGGTTCAGGCTGGCTGGAAAAACGATACAAGCGGTGGGATTAAGGCGTAATATCACTTGATGAAGCTAACTGTTGGTCTGAGCCGTCCAGAAAAATGTAGACTATCCGTTTGAAGGCCATGCAACAGTCGAAATCGGCGGTTGCAGACACTAGGTGATATTGCTTAGAATCGACTTCAGTGGGGCAGATGCATTCATATATTATCCTCATTCCAATCAGTGTATCTCATTCCTTTTTTCTTTTTATGACTTCCTACAACCTTTGACTGCATTTTTTTTCTTTCTTCTCTCTTCCGACTTGTTGCCTTCCGTTTTGATGTGGCAACTTGCGCTGTTACACCGTCCCATGATGTTACTACTGTCCGGTTACACATTACTTAATTCGACTTTATTCTAGAGATGTTGCACTACTCTATGTGTACGCTGTGTACTGTTTTTGTTTTAAAAAGTATAAGTGACATTATTGATGCAATATGTCTTTGATACTGATCTCAGTTCACAGTTTTCACTATGTGCTCACATCAATAATCCTAGTGCATGATGCCAGCTTATTTTTAAAGATAAAATACATAAAACTGAATGAAAAATTTGAAAAATACTGAAAACAAGATGGCACTCAAAAGACAAATCCTGTTTAAAATGGAATAAGATTATACGAGCTGCAAACTTAGGTGTAAAATAATTACCAATGAACCATTTGTATGTTTCTAAATACTACGAACAAGTAAGATCTTCAGATACTAATCGGTAGATTTCTATAGCCTGATGAAAATTTTTAGACATAATTAGTCGATAAAACTCTTCAGATACGGGGAATGTCGACATGGATTGTACAGTTAGTATATATAATCTACTTAGAGGAGGTTAACTGTAGAATCCAGGATGCGCGTTTCGTCCTGTTCGAGACCCATCAGCCGGACGCACCTGCACCCTAATAAGTGGTGCTGCTCCCATCTGCCTGGACAGATCGATCAGTTCGATCCAGTGTAACACCAGGGAATTACAAGGGTCCTTAAACAAGCCATTCATTTACATTTTACTACAAAAAACACAGTGATAGCAGTGCACACAGAATAAAATCGATAGAAAATTTTCAATACACTCATCATTACCTCAATCCAATCATCATTAACAGGCGGTGGTAATGGGACACTGTGTGTATTCGCTATGACATCCGATATAACAGATAGAGCTTCTCTTATTGAATCATACATGCGTATCATTTCTTCACGATGCTTTTTTTCAGCCGCCGACTCCTCCATAAGACAACTCTGCAATTTATGGTAAAAAAAACTCCCATTTCAACAAGATATCTACAACCTCTAGAGCTGTATGTTATAAATATGGTCTTAATAACGGGAATCAACAGTAAATAAATAATTTGGAACTAAAAATGAACTAGTCTAGACATATGAACCTTCGGATAGTTTATAATGTGTACATTATAAGTGATAACAAATTGAATAACTCTACAAAAAGGTAGTAACATGGCAAGTATCCGATACACAACTATGGATTATATACTGTAATATTATGAATCAAAAAAAAAATATATTAAAAGTGACCTGATTTGGTTTACATGTAAAGTGATCATGTGTAATAATAATAATAATAATAATAACGGAAACAAAAATCACACAATCTCACAGTGAAAATGAGAAAAACCAACTGCCAATTAATCGATAATTCTTACCAATAAGTTGAAATCAACGCCAGTAATTTCTAGAGAGAAATTAATGATTACTGTTGCATTGCATACAATAAATTGTCTTGTGTATCGTACACATATGCGCATTATTATTCATCCGAAGATGTATTATAAGAAGAGATGGAATCTTGTATTACTGAGTAACAGTTCAAGTTGCCGCAACTCATAACTATCAAGTGAGAATAGATTCAGATGAAAGACCAAGTAAATAAGGGAGAGACCCAATGTAAAGGGAGGATTTTTTAAAAATGCAAAAGTGTGAAGATAAATGAGCTGAGTAGAAGCTTTAAAAACCTGCTTCTAGCGATAACATCAGTTTCCAAATATGCTACTTCTTAAATACGCCTCACAGCTTTATCTATTTAGTCCTCGTCTGATGCATAAATTTCTTATTATGAACAAGTTATCCTTTAGTGAAACATACTACTATTGAACAACTTGGGTAGTTGAAAAGCATTCAGGTTGATCTCTTGTAGTACTTCACCAGCCAGATCAGAGTGAGCTAAACACTACACGGTCATTTTGCTCATTTGGGATAGAGCTCATCAACGGTATGCTCCGACAAATTCAGCTCACAGAGTCACCAAATCGGTTCAGGTCACCTGAATCTGGCTAGCTGACTTGCATGTACCAGTTTACCCAAATTGGGATGATCAATTTGCACAGTCCATATTGATGTGTCTCACAGGTTAGTAGATCAACAGTTCAACCTGCTTCTAGCGATAACATCAGTTTCCAAATATGCTACTTCTTAAATACGCCTCACAGCTTTATCTATTTAGTCCTCGTCTGATGCATAAATTTCTTATTATGAACAAGTTATCCTTTAGTGAAACATACTACTATTGAACAACTTGGGTAGTTGAAAAGCATTCAGGTTGATCTCTTGTAGTACTTCACCAGCCAGATCAGAGTGAGCTAAACACTACACGGTCATTTTGCTCATTTGGGATAGAGCTCATCAACGGTATGCTCCGACAAATTCAGCTCACAGAGTCACCAAATCGGTTCAGGTCACCTGAATCTGGCTAGCTGACTTGCATGTACCAGTTTACCCAAATTGGGATGATCAATTTGCACAGTCCATATTGATGTGTCTCACAGGTTAGTAGATCAACAGTTCAACCTGAATGGTTGATAATTACTCAGGCTGTCCAGCAGTAGTATATTTCCCTAGTTCATGATAAATTAGTGTCAGAGATCACATCTTTTGATCTCGACTGAGTGGTTTTCAGTGAAAACCTTGTTGATGCCACAGTTGAAGAGCAGCTCAAAAACTACTCAGCTGAGGAAAATGTCAACATGAACCATGCAAATTGTAAATCATTTGCAAATTAATTATCATAAGTTATCATTTAAATAATAATGAACAGTGACGGCAGCAAGTTATGCATTGAATAGCTAATACCAGCCTGCCTAACAACAGTTTCGAATAAAGCCCTAGATAAGAAAACAAGTTATTCTGAACATCCTTACTCTGAGCTAAAAATATTCGTCAAAGTTTCGACTTCTTTTATCTGTGTGGACTATTATCACGAATACGAAAGTGTCCTTCGAATAATGAAGATGAATCAGTTCAGTAACCTTCATTTTTCTAAAATAAACGAACATTCTAGCCTCTTCACATTTATACTTACCCCAGTAAGAGTATGGTTAGACAACGAAGCAGACAAAATTAGAATATTCACTACCTTATCCAGTATGACGTACGAATTACATAACTCTGGTTGAGCAACGATTTTATAGCTGGATAAAGTGCTTTTTTATCTGAAAGATCAATAAAAATGATCTATTCCACAGAATCCCCTTTCACACCAAAGGGATATATAAAAGCGAAATTGAATATTTGCGTGAACTTACCTACCTACTTTTAATGGCTGCCGAATCCACTGACTTCACGTGTACTGGACATATATTTGCCAATATTTGGCCATTCTCTAAGAATCAGTTAGGATCAAAGTTCTATTTTCACAACATGAATTTTTCATTGACACACTTTATAAAAAATGATAGAGCAATAACACCTTCATCAAATTTTACTCAATAGTCACATGCACCTTCGTGCAGTAGTCAATAAGCCACTTCTATTTTGAGGGGGTGAACGACACTACCTGGTTGTCGAAACCTCGCAGGCAGAGCGGGCTTCCAACCAGTGACCCGCTTATCGGAAGCCGAAGGCCTTCAGCTTCATAGCCATTTATTGTCAGAAAATAAGATGGATAACGACTGCATACGTAGTAATGAGATCATGCAGTTATTCTGGCTGTAGAAAGTATATATAAGGATTAATAATCACAATTTTATAATAGTAAAAGGTAATTATGCATCAGGCCTGCTTAAGCGATTCTCCAAAGTAGTAAGAATGAAGAAAAGTGGCGAAAATGTCAACAAGTTTGGTAAATTTGATTGGCTTCCATACTATTAAAGACCTTATTCTGTTTTAATTCCCTATTTCATCATTTTGATTTTTATTCACAAAAATAATTAGTCATAAGGTTTACAACATGACTACCAATTGTGCAGTACAACAGTTTGTCAAAATATTGCAAGCTGAAGTGAGCAGAAATATATTTCGAGCGGAAAAAATCATACAAATAGTGCATAATCAGTGTTTCAGCTTCAAGTTTCCCGTCGGAACACCTCATTCAAACCATACTAAACATCCAGAAGTTTAAATGTCCCCACTTTCTAAGAAAAATAGCACTTTACAGTTATATCAACTGAGGTACAAGTAATTATTTATGCTAATTTTAATTCGGTTCCATATTGAAAAAGACTTAGCAGCACTCTCAGCCCGCACTAAAGCATCGACCAACAGTTATCTCATCAATTTTTTATAAAAAAAAAGAGACATATTTTTTACGAAAAGTGAATTGATGAAATTCAGGGTAACAAAGGAATAAACATTATATGAACAGTAAAAAAAGGTTAAATATGTAACAATTTACATTTAATTTTGATAATAAGAATAAAATTGACTCACAGGGTCTTGAGAATACAGTCCAGGCAACAGGTCTCCTTTTAGGAACACTTTGATCTAAATATCAAGAAAATTCACAATCAGTAGCACACTACTAATAGTAGTGATAAATTAATTTGTAAAAATATATGTGGTCAATACATTCGAGCTGCATACCATCTGCTGACATTATGACCCTGCTGAATAGACCCAAGCTAAGAATGACAATCAAAAAAGCATAGTTTTGTAGGTGGCTAAAATGTCAAAAAGGCATTATCACTTCTATAAATTACTAGTCAAATCTAATGCATTTCGATTGGAGAAATACATAATTCTTACACTGAGTTTATCCACAAAGCCATCCGAAAAAATACATGAAATAGTTAACCTACTTTTGAATTGACCACCGAGTAATTTCTTCAGTAATGAGTGATTGGATAAAAAAAACGAAATGGTCAACTCATTCAAATCTTTGTGCAGTACTGCATTATTAGGAAAGCACTTCAGTCATCTAAATCCAAGTGAAATTCAGCTCAGAGAAACCGCTATTACCACTGAATAGGTTCTTAGAACCATGAATATAGACAGATAAACCAACGTAGAGCCACAGATAGAATCACAATAGTTCAAGTTTCTACACTTCACAGTGGTATACAAGAAAAAAGTAGACAGAAAAAGACTGGTATGAAACCAAACAAAGTTGTTTGACAGAATAAACAACTTTAAGATAAACGTTAGTGCAAATATTCAAGCTTTACAAGATGTCAAGAAATGAATACATCTGCACCATTTTGAACGATTTTTAGCCATGTCACCAAAAGTCCTCAATCACTGATAGCTACCGTCCTGAGGACCCCAACTAGGCAGTCTATACCTCTCTGTACGGCTCAGAATAGCTATCAGAGACTTCAACGACTGGTACCAAGTCTTGGTTTGGCCATTCTGAACCCTCTCCTAAGCCAATGTCTCCTAGCACCAAACTTCGAGAGAGGTGGTGGCTCGGTGTACGCCACATATGCCCAAGCTAACTCAGTTGCTGGAAATATTTCAAACTCATCGGATAACTTTCCTTCACTATCTAACAACTTAAGCCTAAACTTGACATCGCTCACACAGTGACTCCACCATCCCCGAGCAATTCTACAAGGAAACATGAAGGCTGACAGAGTTTTGAGGGCAGTTGAAACTTCCCGTCTGCCCATACCATGGAAAGTTAGGTCTTATGGAAGTGTGTGGAAGAGTAGGGTTAGTGTGTGACTGCAGAGCCCAAGAGATGTCCATTTGAGGCCTTTTTGAGATTTAGGTTTGTTGCATTGGTATCCCACTATAAATCAGTGTCGTAGACATCGGGATGCCACGGGTGATGAAAGAGTGCTATTTTAGAAGCTGACGTTTCTTAATCCCTCGTCTTCCCATTGGGAAGGCAGCATCAGCGTGGCGCTTCTGGTCATCGAAGAGAAATACCTTACTGCTGTCATATTCTCATCCAGTCAGAAGTATAACTTCACTTTTAGGCCCCTATCATAGAGTAGCAACTTACACTATAGTAGTAGCCGATTTTTGTTTAACACATTCACCAGACCTTTTTTGCTAAGGTAGGACCTCGAATGACAAACGTTCCACAAGCACAGCTCGTTAGGTCATTGTGATATACAAAAGCTTGACCATCACATCAAGATAGCACATATCGGTCGAAACACTGCTATGAAGATATCCTATGGTCAAGCACCTGCAGTCGCCTCATGTCCTCTTATTTTAAATGTCATGCCTTACAGCCACATAAAAGTGGAACATCTGTATCCGAGTCGAGATTTCGTTAGCAACCTGACCATTCGAGCTAATGCAATTTGTCAAGTAAGTGAAGTAGTCGACGTGTTCCACCATTTCAGTCCTAAGGTATCATCTTACACCCGACACGTGCGAAATATATATGAAATATACCGAGATTTCTCCTCAAGGATTACGGACAGAAAGATTATTGTGAAACGCTGACCATCCAAACAAAATAGTTTTTGATCACAGAAACAAAGTCTACCGGGGTCAAGACAGTACGGTGATAATGCATTACACCAAGCTACATCAACAGACACCATTTAAATCAACTGTGACACAGTGTATGTGAAAAAGGATGCAAATAGATCATCAGAGATATAGTGTGAAATAGTTGAATGGAAAACTCGAGGAATTTTATTAAGGGTACACTAACTTCTTTTGATACTCTAGCTAATCAGTGATAACTCAACGTGAACATTTTAAGTTGAATACACAGAATATGCTATGTCCACAGATCAGCGGGAAGTATTTTTTATATCTACGATTATATGTAGATCTGATTAAGAGACAAAGTGAAAAGACTGACAGTAATGTGTTAAATTTAAAGATATTGAAGTACTACTCTGAAGACTAAAAACAAATAATCAAATAAAGGCATTATATTAACAGTGTCAGCCCGGACCTCACTTTCATCAAACGGTACCCGGAAAAATTCAACTCATACAGCCAAGAATCTCAGACAAATGGAATCTCGTTGGCCGACTTGCATGAAACGAGGATATGCCTTAAATAGGATGATGAATAGTTTGAAAATTATTTACAAATAGCACGTTGACACTACTTACAGATGACTAGTTTTCTCAACTGCGCAACTATAATGTCAACTGTACTTCGATTGGAGACAACAGAGTGAAACGACTGCCCGGTGTTTAAATCACTCTTTCTTGAATAAGTAAATCTGTAGGCCAATGTGGGCCATTTTCAACCATTCATGTTTTCCAGTAATATATTTCGTTAATAAATGCCTTCAATTATAAAGAGTTTACGTTGTTTCAAAGAAGGCGATTTCAGTACTTCAACCATCCTCAATATAATATTTGAACACAATGATTACTTTAGAGAATAGACGCGTTAAGGATAACCATCTTCTCTCTTTGTACATCAGATTGTATATTATAAAGTACCCTGTTAGTCTTTTAACTATCCTGAAAATCAAGATAGGCTCTTCAAAACATCTTATCTCCCAGACAATACTTGAGGATGGTCCCAGGAAAACTCAAGAAGGAAGAAACAGTGTCTACAGTTGGACGTACTGCACGTTTTTAAAAGTCATCATCAATATCAATATAGGATCAGGCATTATTGCGTAACGGTCCGAGTTGCCACAGCTCATATCAGTACATCAGGTAGAAAAGTAGTGAGGTGAAGGATGAAGATAAGAAAACTCAGTCAAAAGAAACATAAAGTACGAGAAGAAAGAAAGAACGAGAAAATGGTGAGATTCGGTATAGCGTCGTTAAGACGACGATAATGTGTGTGGGGATACATTTGCGCCACTCACATCGGTTCTGAGCCATATCACCTAGAGTCTCTAGCCACTGGTTCCTCTTGTCCCGCGGATCCCAACCACCGAGTCTGCAACGCCCCACCACATGGCTCAAACCAACAATCAGAGACTTCATGCATTGTTGCCATGTTTTAGTCTGGCCACCCCGGATCCTTTTCCAGCCGGGGCCTACTTAGGCCAACTTTGTGTGACGAGGCAATCGGTGACTGGGCATACGTAGTACGTGTGCCAACCATCTCAACCGATGAAGGTTCATAACCTCGTCAACTGATTTACCTCTACTCCTTAAAACTCTATATCTGACGTCTGCATTACTCACGTGGTGACACCACGGAATACGGCCTATACTACGAAGGCAACGGTGGTCAAACGCTTGAAGCCTTCTCATATCTCACTTTCAATGGCCATGTTTCACAGCCATACAATAGAACAAACCACCTTTAATAGACAAACAGATATCCTAGCGGCGCCACAGATGGCGTAAATCGGCAAATGCCAATCGAGCCTTTTGTAACCTTGCAGAGGTTTCATCGGCAACTGACCCAGAAGGGCTGATCTGGCTTCCCAGATAAGTGGAGTGGCCAACACACTCAACTATTACACTCTCTATTGTTAGCCGTGGCACCGCATCCCAAAAATTCCCAAATTCCCACTCAAAGTGTTCAGAAGGCTCTGCATATTGTCAGCGTCTTCAGCCAACACGACTATGTCATCTGCATATAGTAGGCCTAACGAAAATTCTCCTGTGATTCGGTCAATGTCTGTGTAACCTGGTGACGACAGGGAGACCTCCATAAGAATATCTATGGTGAAATTGAATAAGAATGAAGACAGTGGGCATCCGTCAGGGACACCACTCAATAAGCATAGCTCCTTGGACATTTTACCATAGGCTCCAAAATGCCGATAAGTGAGTTTGAAAATAAGCGTTAGATTAGAAATTTTCTCTTCAGTTGTCCAAAGATGATTATAACTACTTATTTTGCTACAGCAAAACATTCCTAACACTAAACTAAGGAGTATCATACTTAAATCAGACGAAAAAAATCTATATTTCGTAAATTTGGTGTTCCCCGTTCTTTTAATAACGCACGCGGAATGATAAGGTTTCAATTGACAAATGAAACTTAGCCACCTCGTATAGATCTATTCGTAAGGTATTAATCGACTCCACATCCATACCAGTGGATGTAACTATTACCTGACTGTTCACGTCGATATAGATGAAGGGAGGTTTGAACTAGTAACTTAGTGATTGATAAACGGAAGCTTAGATCCAACAGATACAGTTTATTCTTACCCCATTCAGTCACAGGTATTTGTCTATACTGTGGTTGTACTAAGTAGTACGGGACGACATAGCTTTGTCAATTCCTTTCTCTTATCAGACAAATGGCATAGACAGATGAAACTCTCCTGAGTTTTTATTCATCATTTTGTAATTAAATAACAGTAAATGTAATTTGTTTAAAAAAATATTCCACATAAAGTTTAGAATTGTAGAATTGTATCCACCTACTACTGGTTAACCTGGAATGTATTATCATGAAATTTTGTGAAACAATTTAAAATTTCTTTCTAACACATTGATTGATTGTGCAATGTACTGCTATTTATATGGATATTATATATATTGAACATTTAAAACAACTAACCTTTGACAATTGTAGATGAATTATTTCAATCACTGTTAACTAGTTAGAAAGGTAGACTACAGGCTATCAAACGCTTGTAAAGCCAAGCTCTTAACTGATGGATAAAATAAACAGACCTACTACATTTTAACGATTGACACTTCATTCAAATGGCAACATCACTCATCTATCGAAATTGATGAATATTCGGATAAATGTTGAAATGTGATCCTATTCGGTTATTGTCTTCGTATATGGTAACTTTATATTATTTGGTCTATTTAAAATCATGGGTGCCTTGTCTGGAAATCATTTCTTGGTCAGTATTCTTCTAACTTATACTTAACATGTAGATTGAGATGTTTATCTTGTTACATATTTAAACATGGAACTGTGGAGCATTGGTCTATCTACTTGACTCTCATCTAATAAGTGTGTCTACTGCACAACAGGGTATATGGTCGGCGAGTGCATTTCAATATATATTTATACATATAAAATAACTACTCGACTCTTGAATGTCAAGCAAAATGCTACTGTAATGGGCGTTGCTGATCAGAATAGATATAAGTAAAATATGTTGAGAGGAATCATAGGAAATTACTAACAATGGGTAAGGGTTCTGCCCAGAGAAACGCAAGAAACAACGGGAACGTATTGAGAGTTAATCGAGATAGAAGTAGGAGAGGAAATGAAGCACGATAAGCAAATGACTGTCTTAGTGCAAGGTGCACTATATTTGATGACTACTGTACCAGACGTTAATAATAATCATTCCTTCCTTCGTCTCTGTTTTCTCCTTACCTTCACTAGTACTGAGAAGTTAAATCGAAGGATATCAAGACTAGCATATTGGAAACTGAACACGAGCTGGTTTATTGAAGTCAGTTTGATTGGTAAAGTATATAATCAGTCACTTTAATTTGTAAGCGAAATCCTTCTGATAAGAAGCCGTCTAGGTAGAAATCAATATCTTAAGTTATCAGTTACTAAGATAGAAGTTCTCGTGTCATGTCAGTGTGGTCAGCAAAAACCCTACTGGACAATTTCACCTCACGGTTGACCAATCAGAATAGGCTATTTAACTTTTGAATTAGTGGTTTATATAGTCATGGCAACTGTTTATAAATGATGCATTTCTGTCGAATAAAGTGTCTTCCTTACAGTCAAACCCCTGTCTTCATCTTCTGATACTTTTGTAGCTCAGTGAAGTATACGGCTTTGAGGGAAAACAGTCAGTGTTTGCATCCAGTTTAAGTGTTTCATTGTGTTGTTTCATTCTCGAAAACGACTACAAAAATATACGCATTTCAACTGCGTCTTGTTTCAGGCTAACAAGAATTTCAGTCTCTGATTCGTTGAATAAACAGCTATCTGAAGAAGAGTTGATTTGCCAACATTTACTGAAGATAGCACATATTGCGACAATTTGAATCACGTGAAAGCTGATCTTTTTTGCCTCCCGTTTAAAATGGAGTGATTTGTCATTCAGAAACCCCCAAAATAGTCATGAACGAAGCAGGAGAATCAAATAAGCCAATTATTGTCAAATCCATGCAAACAGCTTACATATCAAACCTTTTTATGCAATGAAAATATGCGAATATACTGATGTATGTAGTTTATGCGTTATCAGTATTACAACAACATAACATCAACTCATAACACTGCACTACACAGACAGTCAGATAGAATCTATACCACACAGATCGACTTGTAACGTTCAATCTCTCAATTTCTTTGCTAGTATATTTACTTGATACTATTTGATGGTGCTACTCTATCCAAATGTTGTTCACTGCAAAACAGGCATAATGATTTCAGTCATTATGCAAACAGAAAAATGGACGGTATACATCATATGCCTTAAATCACAATACTGTTCAACTCCAATAGGCTGTAAAACAAAGTGCACAAGACATTAGTAGTAATCAAGGATTGTAAGTAGAAATGATAATGAGAATCAGAAAAATCATCGGAATAAAATTGACTAAAGAGAAATTGATCTTAGAGACTTTCAGATGAAATTAGTTATTTAACAGTGTTATGATCATATTAGCGACAGATATATATAGCACACTGAATCTATGTGAACACCTCTGAACTTAAATTATGGATTTTTAGGGCTTTTATAATGCATACTAAGTGTAGATCTTTAAGGTTTGGTTAAATCTTTGGTGGAGAATCTTGAAACAACAATCCGAAGCTAAATAACCAGAATATACAAAAAGGTTGTAAAGTAGATGACATGACTGATTTGCTGTGCTGCTTCATGAGTTATGCTGGGAGATGTTGTTGAATGCATCGAAGCATACGCCACAGCAAAACAAACTCCATAAGAGCAAGGGAATTGGTAAACGCTCACTAAATCAATCATCACCATCATTATCAAAATCAACATAGGACCAGGCATTATTGCGTAGCAGTCCAAGTTGTCACCCCTCATATCAGCACATCAAGTAACAAAGCGATGAAACGGAAGATGAAGAAGGAAATAAAAACCAGTCGAAAGAAGAAGGAAGTAGCAAAAGAGAAGAAGGAGAAAGCGATGAAATGAGGTATAGAGATTAAGGTGAGGATAATGTATGCATGCATGTGCGCCACTGACATCAGTTCCAAGTCATATCACATAGAGTCTCAAACCACTGGTTTCTCTTGTCCCGCGGAACCCAACCGGCTAGTCTACATCGCCCTACATGGCTCAAACCAACAGTCAAAGGACTTTATACATTGATGCCAATCCAAGTCGGTTAGGACTGAATCGGCTAGTCGTAGTAATTCATCTCTCACGCATATGTGCACTGTTCTGATTACAGTTCTTAACAAACCCATATTTTAGGGGCTTTGTTTTGAATTTACATAATGTCCTACGAGTGCCTTTTCATACATTCCGTACATTATACTGCTATACAATTGGTTTTATAACTATCTCATCACGACAACTTTATTGCAAATGCAAAGACACATGGTAATGTAGTGATGCAAATTCATTACTTATATACGGGTGTAAAGTTTTTGAAAATGAAACTTTGAAACGGATTTTCCATGCTGAACAGTTTTTTCAGAGCCTAGTCATACTTTAAGGATAGGAATTGAAATGGCGGAATACATTGACCACTTCGCATCAGCTTGAAAGCGCTGGTTGCTGACGAAATCTCAGCTCGGATGCAGATGAACCGTCTGATATTTGCTAGTTTGCGTCATCTCTGGCAGCCACTGGCGAGATATCTAAGTACCTATTACAGAATATGTATCTATGCTGTCCTGTTATACAGCTGTAAGACATGGACATTAGAAGTAGGAGAGATGAGGAAACTACAGGATTTCGATTACGGGTGTGTTCGTAGCACAGCTGGGGTATATGATGGAATCATCAAGTAGTAGGTGAGTCGGTCAATGAAGTTGAGAACCTCTTAGAACTGAGATGGCTAGAACATGTGTTGCATATTTTAAGCCGCCGCTTACCTCAACGTATAATACCTGAAAAAGTTGTATTATGTTGGAAGAGAGTTCAGGGTGACCAGACGAAGACGTGGCACCAGTCAATGAAGTCTTTCTCTGATTGTTGATCTGAGCCGTGTAGAAAAAGATGGAAGCTGGTTGGTTGGCGTCCCAGAGACGATAGGAGTCAGTAGTTGAGGAACCTTAGTGAAATTGCTATAAATCTGTCTTAATGGCGCAGATATATTCACTCATTGGTGTCTTCTAAGGTTTGAATATTTGCACTAAGCGTTATCTTCAAATTGTTGATTCTCTCACACAACTTTGTCTACTTTGGTATCAATCTTTCTACGTCCACTCGTTCTTTGTAGACTACTGTGAAGTGTGGCAACTCTAACCAGATTAATTTGTCTATATCTGAGTATATTTAACTTAATTACCAGGTAAGACTATCTGAGAACCATGGTTTAGAAGATTGATGCAAAAAAAATAGAGAGAAAAAATTCATTTTAACACATACTTCATTAATTAATTGATGCATAATTATTTTCGGAACCATATCACGTTGAGTCTTGGTGACAATTTTCATATAAGAATCAACTAGATTACGTATAATTTCTACTTGTCTTTCAAGTTTTGGATCAGCTGCTGCCTTACTCAAATCACCATCATCACTCTATGTTGCAAAGAGGCAAAACAAGAAAAAGTAATGTACATGAATAATCATTTCTAATACACACTATATATATATATATATATATATATATATATATATATATATATATATATATATATATATATATATATATATATATATATATATATATATATATATATATATATATATATATATAGTAGTCTCCTCTTACAAAAATTGAACAGCACAATTTACTGAGGTAAAGAAAAGTGAAATTAGGACAAATGATCATTTCCATTATTTGAAGTTAATTTGGAAATCATTTTACCATCTACGTCTTAGAAACAAGACGAAAAAAATTCCTTTCCACATAACCGACAACAGATTAAAATCTGTAAAAAACAACCAACGAAACCAACTATGAACTACATTTGTCACGATAAGAAAATGTGAATAAACAAAGAAAAACACATTCACCAGTATATGACGGCATCATAGCGTTCTCTTTATTTGCTTCACATACTTTTGAGTCAAACGGTTCATCTTTCATTTGTTTGTAGCAAAGAAAAAAGCTTGAAACATTACACAGATGAAATACCGCGTTAGTTGCTCATTTGCAGAATTGAGACTGTAAGTGTATTGCAATTATCGTGAAAATCAATTTATAGGTGTGTTGGGATCTACTTATTCAAGTGAGGCTGATATTCACCCCGCACAGACATCAATTGGAGAACTAATGGAAACCTAGGAGCACTGGGTAGCTGTTTCGGTTCTATTAACAGACTCCGTCCATCCCCATCACCCCACTCCCCTCTATGGACGGAAACCAGGACCTACAAATTTCGCGGCGAACATGTCACCATTAAGCCATTGCTTCAGAATTCGGTGTTCATGCAATAATGCTACCTCCATTCAATGCCACTGTTGAGTATCTGTCGCCATATCCAACTTGGTTGGCTCCATCGGTCATGTCTTCTCATTAGAACGGCGGTCAATCTCATCTCGAAGTTCTAATGTGAAGTCGTGACCAGTGGGATCAACCAGGTTGTATGTGAGGATAGTTAGTCAATAACGGCATGGGTTGGAGGCTGCATTATATCGTGAAGCGATAGAAAGAGGAAAATTTCGATTACTGAATTCCGACACAGTGGCTCAACGGTGACATGCTCGCCATGAGACCAGAAGGTTGTGGGTTCGATCCCTGGCGACGGTTGTGATACGTGAGCACTACTGAGCAGTCCCATACTAGGACAAAACAACTGTCCAGTTCTCCTAGGGTTCCAATGTTTCTCCAACTGATGTCAGTCCATGGTGAACACCAACCTGAAATCAATAAACAAATTCCCACAAACCTCCAAAATTGAAATGTCAGCTCGCTGTTAAGGTCACTTTATCAGGAAAGATGTTCTCAGGATGGCTTGAAAACTCAGCGGATTTCAGGCCATTTTCCGTTTAAATGTACTAAACAAATAGTAGAATGACTACAAACAAAGGTTTACAGGATAATTATATTGTCAGTGCTCTAAAGTCAATGTTCCAATAGCCCTCGTAGTGAAAACATAACTCCTTCAGGTTCAAAGTTTAGCATGGACACTGAATGTGGTGAACATCAACCCGGTCAAATTCAATCAAATGATTCCAAATCTCAACAAAAGACCACACTGCCATAAAAGTGACTTCTACCGTCTACTGTTCAAAGCTTTCTAAACTAATGAAAAGAACCATCTAATGTCGTGTGTGAATACAACATTGACTTCATGAGTCCATAAAATTATCTGGAAAACACACAATTTACCTTAAAACACTAATCTAATACCTTTAGCATCAACTACGCCCCACCTACCACTTCTTAAGGGGGCTGTAAGTAAAAAAAATCAGTCAAATAAAGCTATGAGGTTATTTCTTGTATCTGTATCCAGAAGCAATGAGACCCACAACCAATCAATTATGAATATCTATCAAGTGTCTATCTTCATTCTCATCCCCTGATAATCTGATTAAGGCATCTCAGCTTTAAGGCCAAGTAAACTTCCCATATATTTTGCTAAATCCAAATAATTGTACGCTGTGTGGGTTAGCCATCTACATTCGTCTTCTCTTAGAGTCAGTTGGTATGGCATCAGTGGTTGTAGGACCAATTCGTGCATAGTAATTCAAGGAATAGCACTGCTTCATCCCAGCGTCGGGTATTTTCTTCAGTCCGTTAATCATACAGGAACCGAAACTGAGGTTAAGACCAGAACGGCGGTCAAACTGTCAAGACAGAGCATATGGCACTATTCTTTTAAAATCCAGAGAAAAACAGCTTAGCAGTCCAATGAAAATGACAGAGTACTGTGAAATTGTATCATGTTATTGACTTTCAAATGACGCAAATAAAATGAGAATATAATCAGCTCAAGTTCTCTTGAGACCGAGGTAACATTCAAACTAATGAAGTCACCTTTAGTAAACAGATGCCTTTTACTGATAGAATTCCCGTTATGAAAATTGTAACAAGACATATACGCAAACAGCATCTTCTTTAATTGGATCTCCTCAGGACTTACTCGTATAAACATAATTTTACACGTACACATAAGAGTATGAACCAATCAAGGTGATTTGTTAGCCATCGACATCATCAGTAACATTAGACAAGATAGTACAGTAAAACGGTACAGGCTTCCACTTTTCAATATCCCCATAACATAGCAAAAAAGAACTCAGATGAAAGATAAAGTAATGGAGAAGAAAGCAGTAAAAAGTGATAGAAAGTCGTGAGACGATAACAAAAGAGAAAAAGAAATTACTGAGTTCAATCAGATGACTAAGACAAAAGAGACAGACAAAATCAATATAGAACCTCGCATACAACTGCATCGGTTCAAGCTGACACACCTCGCAGTTGTCTGCAAAGAACAGTTGGATGGAAGAAGGTTGATACCAAAGTAGACAAAGTTGTGTGAGAGAATCAACAATTTGAAGATAACGCTTAGTGCAAATATTCAAACCTTAGAAGACACCAATGAGTGAATATATCTGCGCCATTAAGACAGATTTATAGCAATTTCACTAAGGTTCCTCAACTACTGACTCCTATCGTCTCTGGGACGCCAACCAACCAGCTTCCATCTTTTTCTACACGGCTCAGATCAACAATCAGAGAAAGACTTCATTGACTGGTGCCACGTCTTCGTCTGGCCACCCTGACTAAACCTTCTTCCAACCTAATCAAACTTCTAGCATAGTACATCGAGGTAGGCCGTGGCTGGGCATGCATAATACATTTCCAAACCACTACGGTCGATGTAGGTTCAAAACCTCATCAATCCACTTGCCTGTCTTCCCCAGTACCCTTCACCTTAGCGCAACATTGCTCATACGGTGATTCCACCAAACATTAGTAATACTACGAAGATACCTGTGTACAAAGCCCCGTAACCGCTTCATGTCTCACAGACGTATAGAAGGACAGAACAGACATGTGTTGCTCACGTCCAAGCATCGCCTACCTTAACATACCTGCATATAACCTTCTTCGATTCACTTCTTCTTTGCATTCTGCTGTGAAAAGTCGCAATTTGGACCGATACACTTGTGTTCGACGTTCCATATCGACCTACCTACTTAATTATTACCAATTATTGTGCATAAGAATGTAATCAAGATCTTGATGAATTTTTGGTGTTACTGATACCAACGCTAAATAAATATTTTATTTCTGTGAACTCATAATCTTTCTGTAATCAATAAATGTATGTATTACTTACTCTGCAGTTAGTTCATTCTCTAATCTGTTTTAAATTATTTCTATTTTTATTGATTTTTCCGTCTTTAAATATGTATTCTGTGCTTTTATAGAGAATGATCACAGTTTTTTCCACACTCAAAGTCATGTGATTTTTGAGAAAATGTACTTCAATCACGTACTGTACCACTCGTGATCTCTTTTGTGTGTGTGTGTGTGCATGTCTGTGTATATCTTTTCTTCACTGTGCATGTGTTTGCGTGTGTACACGATGTTGTAATTATGTGAAGTATGCATTAATTTCAGTTATACAAACATTGGAAATTAAAATTTATCAAACAGTTGTCTAATGGATCAACTCAGGTTGAATTTTCAATTCGAGCTCCTCAAGTTTTCTCATTGATACATATGTGACTCGTTTTTGAATGTATCACAATCTTATAGCATTGTGTGAAGAATGTCTTTGATGTCACCTCCAAGGTGGCCACAGGTGAATGTGAGTGGAAAATGAATGATATCGCTAGATGAATTCTCACTTTTCAGTAATGTTACTGCTCACTGAGGAAACTGATATCATATATCAACAACTAATGGATAAAATTCAGGAGTTTATTGATTCTTGTAATCTACCGTATCACTGCTACCCATCACCAAGTAAACTACAACATAAGGAATCTTTAGTCAGTATCTAGGCCTCCGTATACGAGCCCATTTGTCAACAGACGTTGACCTATTCGATACAGCATAGTAATCCGATATCACAAGTATCCATAATCAACATCTGATACCCGATGCACAAAAAGTGACCATTATGCCTCAAATGCCTAGCGGATAAGGCCTTGGCGTTTGAAGCAGCGGATAACGGGTTCGAGCCTCAGTGGGGACAATAACATTCACTGTGGTGCACGAGTACGAAACGAGAAGACAAACGTAATAAAGAATGTTTATCGTCAACATTTTGTACAGTAGCCATCAGATATTGTACACATTGCATTAAAAAAACATTTGCATATCGTGCTTCATTTCCTCTTCTACTTCTATCTCGATTAGCTCTCAATACGCCCGCGGTCTCTTGCGTTTCTCTGGGCAGAATTTTTATCCATTGCTGGCAATTACCTATGATTTCTGCCACCCCCCTCAACATATAATACTTATACCCTTTCTTATTAGCAACGCCCACTACACTCGTCTCCCCATCATGTTGATAGTCTTGGTGCTGTCTTCTCTTGGTGTTCAAGCAAAATTTCGTCTTTTTCTCACCGTCTCTATTTTTGAAGTAAGCTGGCGTTTACTGTTCTCTTTCTCCCCT